CCAACCCAGAAAATGTGCATAAAATTAACAGAGCTTAAAAATGACAGGAATATTTGCATCATATTGCCCTTGAACTTTATCAATCACATTTGATACATTTCTTTAGAAAGCAAGCCACTGCCGCCTTTGGTAACCACACGAAAGGAGTTTTACTTCTAAAAGCGGGTAATCAAGGTTTTTGTGAGCCCGGCTTTTTGAAACTAATTTTCCCTCACAATGCATGTTATATGATGGATATGGAAACAAAAAAATGCTCAAGAAAGAGTAAAAATTTCTCGTTTTACTTTGTGTCGACTTTAAAGGTTAATAAGCTATGACATTGTATAGACATATCACTGATTAAATGCTTAACAATTGCAGGAAGATGACCCAGTCGTCCAGCGCAAAGCGTTGTTTGAGCTGAAGCGTGTCTACAGAGAAGCAACACAGTTGAGAAACCTGAAGAACAAAGAGCGCAGGAGACGACAAGCCAAAATCACAAAAAGCAAAAGTCTTAATAGATCTTGATCATCATTTAAAAGAATGGTGGAAAATCAGTGTTATTTATTCTATTTATAAAGTTCATGTTGTACACATATTGTGCACAACAGATAATTGTTTAAACTGACATTATTTATTTGTTCTTATTTATTTGAAAAAGCACTGTAAACCACTTGCTAGTAACATGGCAAATTTTGTAAGGTCTGTGACTGAATAAAATAATTTTTAAGAATGGTTGTGCTAATGTAAGTGACTTCATAAGATATGACAGTCTATTGTTATCTACATGCTATGACAAGTTTCTATTCAGAGAATATGATACATAAATGCCTCCCATCTTCCCCCAGCATTTGAAAATCTTTGTCATTCGTTTCATTAGCATAAATTTGGCTTAGTCCACACACTGAATGTCACATTAGACTAAAGTGCCACTGCCACCCATAACTAAAAGCAAAAGAAACCATCATCACATTTCACATGTTTGAAATAAAAAACTAAAATCACACTTGGTATGTTATTGAAGAGTTTAAATGCATCTGAATACTTTTTAGAACCACTGTAAATATACCAGCTAGGTGGTTATGTTAACAGAGCACATTCTATCACTTCGCTATTTCATTTCTCTTTGAAAGACTGTCAAATGACCCAGCTGTGAAATATAATACTTCTTATACAATCGTATACAGTCCTTATGGGAATTCCAGGCAAAAAAAGAAAAATACAATTGAACAGGTTTGGCCTTATCTGGCCATGTAGGTGAAGGAGGCCTATCACAACACAATGTAATAATAGCAATTTAGCTCATATAAGGTTTCACTTTGACTTCCTTAAAATAAGTGAAGTTGGAAATTTATACTTATTGTTTGACTGCCAGGAAAAAAGTGGCCCTATCAAGTCCAAGAGGGTGGAGAAGCTTTTTACTAACACTGTTCAAGCTAACAATTAGCATGCAAAACAAATTCTGTGGTGATTTTGAAAAAGCATTGTGAATTTCCTTGCAGCTCCATGCTGGTTTATACTAGTTTGTTCTGATTTGGCACTGATCTAACTGCAATTCATTGGCAAATCAAGTGAAGCTGGTCGACCAGCATGGTCTTTTTGGTAAAGCTGGCTGATCAGTCTTCTTATGCCCATTGGGGACACCAGAATCACATGCAGGGGACCAGCGACAACTGTGTAAGTTGAAGAATGATGATGCAAGTGTTATTTCTCAGCAAAGGCATTTTAACTGCTGATGATGCATTAACCACAAACCAGCAAAATAGAGAAAGAGAGTACAGATAACATGCTCATACTCACCCTTAAACAGCATACATGCTTTCCTGCCGGCAACAGGATTTGCAAGGATTCTTGGAGCTTTAACAAACCTTATGGATCTAAAAATTATTTTTTTAAAATTTGCCTTTTGCTTTAAGAGTCATGAAACTACCCATTTCAACACATGCCAACTCTCACCACAGTTTCGAAAAAGCTGCAGAGAGCACTGTCTGCGGTCCAGCCAGCTTTAATTTGCTTTAATGGGGTTAACAGTATCAAAGGTTCTCACAGATTCGCAAAACAACATGCACTACTATACTACTACATACAATGTCATTTCCATTCTTTTAATTTAGTGGTTAAATAAATACTGGCCCATTTGCATTTGTACTCTTGAAGAACCATGAAGCAGTACAAAGTAATCTGAAGAGTGTTGCAGCACTAATGACAGACTTTTTTATTTAAAGACAAAGCCATGGCTTGTTTAGTAAACCACTGTTTAATAAAAAAAGAAAAAAAGAAATTTATTTTTTGACCTGTTAATACACTCATATCCAGTAAGAACAGATCATTGTAATGCAATGTCAGAGCCGTAATTTTGTGGACATCGGACCAACATAGAAAAAAAAAGATGTACAAGGAAGTCATCATGTCTACACAGAGCAATTCTGTTTTGAATGTACACTGGAAAGAAAACATTCCAAATCCATTTGTGTTGTTTTAGGAAGTAGAATTACGTTAGAAGTAGAACCTGACATTCGTTTACTGCTGCCGGTGTTACACGACACATCCAATGTTAAAAGCATAATTGATTTCTATGTGCTTTTGACCTGACGCGTCCACTGTAGACTGGGTGTGAACATAAACCTAGAAACCTACCCGTAGAAATGGCATGCTGCATAGAAATGAAATGTTGCACAGAAATTATAGAAAGTCTGTTGCTGTATAGCACTGTGACGTGTAGTGGAGTAATTTTCACTGTAAGGTATCAGTACTTTTACTCAAGTATGGTTTTTAGGTAATCTTTACACCTCTGGTGAAGATGCTATGCAACACCTTTTAGCACCATGCAAGCAAACATGTGCAACCCTCACTTCTGTATATCAGTTTAATGGTTGCAGGGTCTGTTATGGAAAAGTAATGTGATAGAGAAGAGAGGAAAAAGTAGAAACAGAAGTTTTTTTATGATCCTTCAAAAATGTATGAAATTGAATTTTTATGGCTTTTAGTCCATGCATGTTTTAGCTCATCTATATGTTAGTGTACTCCTAAATGTCAACTAAATCAGTTTTAGAAGATATACACATTTACCTCAAAGCAATATCAATGAGTCATCCTGCACTTTTGTCCAATCAAATGCTAGAATGAGAATGTCCCGCCCTCTAATACCACTTGCTTCTGACTAGCAAGTAGCAAATCATGGTGGATGGGATGTAACTAAAGTTAGGGTGCCTTGTATTATAATATACAGTATGTAGGCTTTTTATATGGCCTAACATATAACAATAAAGGTGAGATTCCTTTAATTTTTAAGCAGCTAAAAGTACTTCCTGTTTACACTGACCTTCATTTCAAAGAAGCAGAGTAAAGGGCTGATGAAGTGTGGATAAGAAAAAAAGCATTATAACTCTGGAAATCCCCCCTTACCCCTCCCCAACCCTATTCCCCCTTTGTCTCTTTTCATTTAATGCTGAGCACATGACAACAAAAGCTGGAAATTCCTTGGGTGTGGGGATTGCACAGGTGCACATCTTACTATGTGTTGCTGTTTGGAAATGCATGTGTAAGGGCCAACAGACACATAATCAAAGGTTTAGATGGAATTTGCTGTGTAAAATGAGGACATTTGACTTAAAGAGAAATAAAGAGAATAATAATTATTCAATTTGTCCACTAACAAGTGCATCACTGTAGAATTGTTGGCATTTTACTGAAACATACCAATCATTTCCACTATAATGCCATTTCCAACACATTTCAATAGAATATGCGGTGGAAATGTTGCTGGTGATTTTTTTATTTATTTATTTTTTACATTTTTGAATAAAATAGCTGATGTCTTTGTCTTGCTAAGACACTTAAATTGAAATTATTCACAATAAAAATGTTCACAAGTGATTTGCACCTTGATTTTTCATTGTGTTTTTATACATTATATCTCATATTTAATTTAAAGCATTTTGATGACACTGTATGATAACCAAGTACACTAACTTTTGATACAAAAATGGCAAAATTGGTTGTGAAATGGCACTACTGAGGGAAGTCTTAAATTGTTATGACATCCAATAAACATTGAAATGGTTCATGATTATATCACTGTAAGTAATGTAAAACATAATATTTTTAGGATGAATTTCATATGTTGAAAGCAGGTTTGGAGCAAGGGTAAAGCATTACATTGATAATCGAGACATAAAAGGCATTGTACTATATAAAAGCAAATGAAGGCATGATAAAGAAAAGAGTTTCTGACAGATTTAACTGAATAAGGAGAAGAAAAAGTGTACATCTCTTTAAATAATATCCACTCATGGTTAATAAAAGTTGCCATGTTTGAAGCTACTGACCTCAAAAAAAAAAGAAAAAAAGAATGAGATGAGATGAGATGAGATATTGCAAAGTGGCCTAGATTTCAAATCCCCCTCAGTTTCCATTAGTGACCCTTATCACCTTTTTGGTTGATCAATCGTTAGTTTCCATTTGATCAATCGTCTAGCTTTAGAGTCTTAATTCTGCAAATACAACATTTCATGCTTTCTTACTGTCTTTTGTACAAGTATAATTAATAATACCATTTATGTTGCCCTTAATGAACTTTCCTTGACCAAGACTGTGGTTTGAGTAAAGATTTAGAATCTGGGACATCCTCGAGCCGCATAAATGTCATGACCTCATTATAAAGCTGTAATGCAATTTTGTGGTGACTTTCATTTCTTTAAGCTCCTTTGAGTAGCATGAAGCAGCCAGAAAACTTTACATTCTGCAGTGTCAATCTGAGCCCAGACACAATCCCCATTGGAAGCACTAGCCAACGTGGATTGCATTACGGTTCAGGAGTCTGACATCATCACCTGTCTTGATCTCAACTGGAAAGTCAGAAACAAAAACAACAAAGACGTTCGCTGACGTCACCAGGAAACTAGAATAAATACAAAGGTGAGGACCAGAGCGAAGGCAAAAAGAAGGAAGAACGGAATGAAGCAGGTGTATCAGCAGGACCTGCATTCACATACATTCATTTAGTCACTTTGGAACCGAGTATGGCCAGTGCTTTGCTGTATTATTTTCTGATCCTGATTTTCGGCATTCCAATGCACGAATGTGTGGCGGTACTCCGAGATGGCAGGTGTGTCATCGAGGAACCCTGTTTTGATCTGAGCGTGATGGCTAATGTAGCCGAGCGTGTCAGCAAAGATGTGGTGGTGAGTATTCTGATCCTACTATCAGCCTAGTGCTAGAACTCAAATTGCCCATTATTCACATGCAAATAACTGCATGCACTTGTTACAAAACTAATCCGTACAAAGTGAGGGTGATATGCCTGTGGGAATAATCTTGCGCTACAACAAAGGGCTGCAACTAGAACTAAAAGTCAGGTGTTCATGTGCAGAATCAGTTTACTAGTAAGCTTTTTGAAAATGCTTTGGAGACTTTGAATATTTCAATGGGTGACCGTTTGAATGATCCTCTCAGACAGCTTCGGATGGTGAGAAGATCCTCCTGAAACACAGCTCCTTTGACAAAATTCGAAAAAAGGTAAGATGCATTGTCTGAATTCATATTATGAGTTATCGCATTATCATATCATATGTTATTTATTGGCGAATGAAATACATTGGGGGTCTTGTTATGAGGCGGGGCTCAATGAGGTCCTATATGATATAGCCAGCTAATTGGGCATGGGGCCAACCCATAAAAGAAGCCCAACCCATAAAAATTTTGTCTTGGGCTCCATGAATTTTAGCAACAATCTTAATACACCTATAAGAAACTGTGTCACATATTTCAGACTTCACTCTCAGAAAAAAATGCTACTACTCTAGTCATGTGCATGTACGCATGTCTTAACAGTACAGAAATATGATCAAGATGTACCTCTGGAAATACTATCATGCCATCTACATTTCTGGTGGCATCAGGTTTCACAAATGTATTCTAAACTGAATTGTATCATTTTCATTCATCAGAAAAATCTTCATAGCTGTGTCCTGCAGAAAATCATTGACCTATTTCAAGATGTTCTCGATAAGACAAATGGAACCTATGTCCATAAAAACGAAGAAATAAACCACCATCATGAGCTTATACACATTATGGATCAACTCAGAAACTGTGTTTATAAGGTCAGCACATTCCATTTTCAGAACACATATCATAAACGTTGTCATGTTACATCATCATGTCTACGTTTAGCTAGACAAGCACTAACCAAAACCAGATCATGCTGGTCTTTTCAGCGAGGTGCCACCTGGTTTGTTAACAATATAGCAACATTTTTACTTAAATATTTAGTTTTAAAACTAAAGGCCATTTCTTAAGCTTAGGTTGTTTTCTTAGACTGACAAATTTCTTTACTACCATTTCTTTGTTTCAGAAAAACGATAGATGTAAAAAGCTATATAAGATGTCTGACATAACCACAACTTCCTCTCCAATGGTAAATATTCTTGTACATATTTAAATATGAATAAATAATAGAACATTTTACTCAGAAGCAATTAAAGCACTCATATATGTACTTTTATCTAGATTTTGGAGAAAAAAATGAACCCAAATCAGCTTGCTGTTTTACAGCTACAAAAACTGAAGTCTGCCAGTAAGAGGGTAAGAATCAGTTTCGAACTATTGAAAAACGGATAAATCCTGTTTCTGTATGTTTCTTATTAACTCTTTATCTTCATTGGTCTTACAGGTCAGCGATGTGCATATCCAGGAGAAGGTCATGGACGAGCTGAAATCCCTCCATCTCTACGTGCAGGGAAAAGGCTTCCGGAAAAATACGAATGACTAAGGAGAAGCATGATGTTTTATTAATTCTGGCCAACAATGTGTTATGTCACATCTCTGTCTGATCACTTTAAGATGTGTCAGTTTAAGCAGGGACAGAAAAACCAAGCTATCTCTTCTAAATGAGACCAAACTTATTTTCCTGACCTTTTGTTTCTAATAAGGTATTTTAGTTGTTCGTGCTTTTAGTGCAAATGTCTTTTTTGCTTTTTAAGTAATGAGTATTTAAACAGTATATGCATATTGCTTACGTACTTTCGGTGAAAGATTGAGTGTACTGCAGTAAACGCAGGTGAGAAAATAGACAAGATATAGATAATTTTGTCAATGAAAACACAAAATACATGTTTTTCTTTGTTTTTTATTGCATTCATTTGTCTGCTCAGTAAATTTTTTTTATATCTGGCTCTGTATGTTTGCTTAAGTGTCCAGAAACAGCTAAAATTTTAACTCTATCCACAGTATAGCAAAAATAACATTTTTTGCAAGACATTACTGGTATTTTCTTTGGGAAATTCTCAAGTGGCTGGATTACATTGATTCTGATAATATACTTAAACTGATAATATAATTTTTTATTTTTTTTTGTCTTTTTCTACGCCACTGTAGATGTTTATTTATATCCATCCATATTATATATTTAACTACACAACTCTACATTAACAGCTACACTAACTACGGTACTTAACTCTGCTGTAAGGCCACCAGAACTGCAGTTCGTCCCGGTGCATGAGTGAGTTGCAGGCATGCATAAAACTCATGCATGTTAAATAAAAACAATGCATGTGATACACAGCAGGCTACTGCTTAGTGATGATGAGATCAGCCATATTTACCATATTTAATGTAGTATGGGGCATATTTTCTTTTGCCTTTTGTAATTTTGTTTGTTCCTTTTTTGAGGATGATGGCACATCGTGCAACCTGTTCATGCTGGCATCTGACTAATTTGCCTAGTTTCTACTACCAAGTGACGAATAAATTAACATCAAAATACCATGGAGTTTGACATTGACAAACTAAAAATATGTGTATTTGCATCCCTTTTAAGCGCTGGCATGCTTATTTATTTTGCTATTCTAAAAATGCACAGTTATACTGCATTTTATAATTCGCATTTTAGTATTGCTTTTCCCTTCTTTTAGAATTGTGATCCAGCAATTGTAAATAACTGATACATATTATATTTGGTTAGAGGGTTAGACTATTTTTCGCTGTAGCAAATGCTATAGTAATGATGTGCTTGTTCATGTTAATTAAGTTCCTTTAATTATTTGCTTGATCATGTTGCATTTTTCATTTCATTATTTGTAAAGACATTCAATTTTATTGGAAAAAGGATTGAATTGAAAAGTGAAACTTCAAATACACACCATGACCAAGCAGGATATCATTGCTGCTAAGCGTCAAAACAACAGTGACTTAGAGAGTCGAAAGCTTCTCAGATCTTGATAATATCTCATTTGAATCATGCTCAAAAACAGCCAGAGATACACAAGAAACAGCAGCGCCCACAGCGGAAACTGTGGCGGGTTGAAGAAATTCGTGAATGTAAAGAAAAGAATGAAGAGAATGAATGAATGAAGGAACTATGAAACTTTGATGATCTTCTAGTACTCAAAAGATGATTAAACACATGTCATTACTTTTCTGCTTCATGCATGAGTGCAACAGCTCTGCCTCGTCGCATGAAGTGATGTCACTGAGAAACCCCCAGTCTCCCATCACTTCTGGTAAGTGGCAGCGGCAGCTTACGATAAGCAGAGCAGAGTTGACCACAGATCCAGCCTTCTACTGAAGGGTGGTGTCAAACACATACAGTGAATCAGAGAGAAAGAACTGAGGCAGAGGCCTGGAGGAAGATGCACACCGACAGCCTGAAGAATTTAATGAGAATCAATGAAGGTACTTTTTGCAGGAAAAAGTCACTTGTTGGCTTTTGAAAAGTGACAGATTAAAAGAAATGAAATAAAACAGGATTGTGAGACAGTATGAATTGCTGGATCTCCCTTCACCTGTTGCAGTTCCTGTGATTTCATGGTAAATACCTCTTCTACATGACTTGATCATCAACCCATTGAAAACAAGAGCACTATACTGTCAGCAAATTATCTGTCATTAGACGTTCAATTTGAAAATAAAAGCATATCTATTTATATGTGTGTTTGTGAGTGAGTGTTTGTCAGCACTTTCATTCTCACTCGGGTCCTGCTTTGCATCCAAAATGCACCGTGAGCATCTCTACACCAAACGTTAATGACATCAGCTTTTAGAGGCTTCTTCCTTGAACAAGTGAGCATTAAAACTTATGTGGAATCAGCAATGCTTTGGAGGAAAAACAACTACAAATCATTTGGCAAAATCTAATTTTTCAATTGGCAATTACTTGGAAGTCGGTATGATTTGATGTCTGATTACTTTTGCTAAAGCAAATTCTAGTGAGAAATATTGGGTATGTCACATAAAATATTACCTCAGAGGTCTTGACCTTCTAGACGATATCTAACAATTAAAATTGTACAACAATACCATAATAATCTATATACAGTATCTAAAATTTAAATTAAAATGAAATGACAACAGTATATACAGTAACGATCTGTGAAAGATGAGAGAGAATGGATTAGGTCGGAAAAAAGTCACAACTGTAGTTAACTAGAGCATGAACCTTTGAAGTTCATGCTCGTCACGGTTCTCCTCACCGCATTACACTCCGAAATCGAAGTTCACCCACCTGTCATTGAAATTTATCACTGCTTAAAGTTTCGGGGAGAATGTTCAGGGACTGACACATTGTGTAGGCTGAGGATATCTAAAGGTTCCACTGAAAATAAGGCCCTCATGCTATGTGTGCATTGAAGCTGGAGCATGCCTATGTTTCTAGAGTCCTATGTCCCCCAGATTTATATAGCACATAAGAAACACATGAATTTATAGCACATGAAAAAGGGTCCTATGTTCCCAAAGTCTTATGTTTACCAGATGTATATGGCATATAAAATAGGTTCAACTTAACAACATAGATAAAGACCGCTTTATTAATTCACTTGGTGTTGAAGGCAGACTTTGTGGAGGGCTGTAATGAAATCATTTGAAAAGTTAGAGAAGTAGATGTTCAGTGCAGGTGGCTTCGTTATCCAAGAACATAATAGTGTTAGGTCCGAGTCCACCTTGTCGAATCCGAGTCGAGTCCTAGTTTTTAATCAATTGAGTTTGAGTGGCAGACGTTTATTAATATCTTTTTATCTTAATTTTATGTTGTTGCTTATTTTTTCATATTTTATATTACACACGACGTGGATTCGTCTCTACTTCTGGATTTCTGCGTCCAAAGTGTCAAGAGTCCAAGTACCCCAACTCTACATAATTGAATCTTTGAGTGATTAGAATCCATACTTTATAGCCTGGTGAACATAATCATGTGTTCTTATGTGCCATATAAATCTGGAATACATAGGACTCTGGGAACATAGGAATGACCGCCCCTTGGGGAAACATGCTAAGAAGAAAATCTGTTTCCATTATCTTATATCAAATAATAAGTCAAGCTTCTACATGTGAACAGACACTGTGTTCTGAAAGGTCATGTGCAAAACAAAAGAAAAAAAAAAGGTGTTCCTGTGGCTCAGTGGTAGAGCATTGTGTTAGCAGCGAAAAAGGTCGGGGGTTCGACTCCCAGGGAATACACATGCTGGTAAAAAATGTACAGCCTGAATGCACTGTAAGTCGCTTTGGATAAAAGCGTCTGTTAAATGCATAAAAAACCGCCATAAATTAAATATAACTCACAACTTTACTTGACTGACACTATTCACTGATATAGACCTCTTATTGGACCCAAGGTGACTGTGTACCTTTCACAATTCCCTTCTCCCTATGGACGTACACCATTAATGTACAATTTTGATATTCAAACACACTTCATTCAATAAAACTAGACTGCCGTCGACTTGCACAATTTACAAGAGTTGTATCGGAAACAAGGTACAAAGTGGTTTGGAGATAAAGATCAGAAGCTCAAATAACAAATTATATCGATTCATATCTTGAAACCAAAACAGACACAAAGGAGCTGACACATCCTCTCTCAGAGAAATTCACAAGACTGTAGATACATGTGTCAGGCTTCATAGCTGGTGCACTAAACCACAAACTATTGCCAGTTGTTCTTGTGATAAAGGCAAGGTAGAGTGGTTGCTAGGGTGTCACTAAGCAATTTCTAAAGTGTTCTGGATGGTTGCTAGGCTATTTAAAATGTGCTGTCGAGGGAAACAACATCAAACTATGAAACATCTCACATCAGTTAGCGGTATTACAAATTATCATTGGCCATGCTACAATCCTACATTTAGCTAATATGTCAATACCCTATTCCCTGGATACATTGTGCTCCCTTGTAGATGTTTGTACATTGGTAAGCATAAATTAAACCTATATTTTAGCCCCTGCAGCAGTTAATTTGCATATAGAAAAGGGCAGAAGCAATTTAGTTTCCATGAACTGTCATCTCAGAACGTGTCACATTTCCTGTGCATGCTCAACTGCTCTGCACACTGTGTGGTTGTAAACATGTAGGAGTGAAGACCAACAAACAGAAACACTGACAAAATGCATATTTAGGCAGTCTACTGTTCGACGTACTGATTACAAAATTAGTGAGTGGCTTGAGCACAGTAAAATAGAGAATGAGTGCCATTTGTCCATTCAAAGAGTGAAATAACACACTGGTGTTAAGGACTGTCCCTAATCTGAATGGGATAATCCAACAATCATTTCTGTTCCATAGGTGAGTAGGTCAAATTAAGAAAAAGGTGATTGGAAAATACGGATGAGTCAGGCTCCACCCACCTCCCCACACATGCATGCTCTCTCTCACATGTTGCCTCATGAACCATGAGTATGAATGGCCTATATTTGAGAGGCCTTATGGCTGGTCTATATAATTGAACTTCGCTATACACAATACACAAAGCTATATACACTATCAATTTTAAACAATATGCA